AGTGCCAGGCTAACTTGGACAAGACGTAGCGACTGTAGAGGAGCAGTTTATTTTTGGGGTGTAGTGGCTTTGAGTCAATATCAGACATTAGTTCATTAAGTAGGGAGGTTAGTTCAGTTTTGTGATTATCATTCGACATGTGGAAATCAAAGTAACGTCCTAAATATTGAAATGATTCTCCAATGGTGATTTTTGGTATTAGTTGATTGCTGATGAGGAGTTTTGGCAAGTACTGAACTGATTTTGTGATCGCTTTTTTAATGCCAAAGGTACTGCATTTGTCAACTCGGATAATCATATCGGACCATTGGCACCAGATAGAAAATCGATTTAATAGATGTTGGTTTTCGGATTCTTGGCCAGTAATTACAGCCGCGTCATCAGCAAACTGGAACCAATGGATGGGATAATAATAATAATAATAATAATAATAATAATAATAATAATAATAATAATAATAATAATAATAATAATAATAATAATAATAATAATAATAATAATAATAATAATAAAAGCATTTATTTAAACACGATGGTAAATTTACAGCATAGCTGATGTGGTCGTGCACGTGGAACTAACTACAATTAATGAATATAAACATAAATACAGCATCTCACTCTAAGTGATCTAACAGAACAACAAATTACATGTCACATAACTGAGATACTATTTTACCCAATCCAAACATATTAGCTACTTAAACCTATGGCGTCACATTGTAGCACAATTGTTATATTATATATGACCATCTAATTTTCAGTCAGTAATACCAAAACATAAACTGTTTAGGAAATAACTATACGAAGTACTTTAGACATGCAAGTAGAAGTGCCCTTAGCGAGATTAACCAGCTTTGATGTAAGACGTAAGGCTATGTTAAGGCAGGATTTGGTTAATTTAGTAATAAACTAGAAAATACATGCATGCAGAAACCCTCGCCTTGCTGACAAAACCATTGTACGTTCCGAACATGAAGTTCTAAAATAGTTGTCATGGTAACACGATAATTTTTTAAGAATATTCTTACAAATGAAAAATCGCCTAAAAATATCACTTTTAATTACAAAATCATTAATTTCCCAACATATATATCTTAGGTATGTTATTATACGTAATATAAGCCTCAATTTAAGGTAAAATTCAAACCACAAACGCTTCGCAAAACGTTTTAAAGTGCTCTTTAACTTAACTACCTTTAATTATTAAAATGGTTTATCGATAAACTTTGAGTTTGCAATAAAATGATTTCAAATTCTCGCTTGCAAATAACTTTGCTTTCTTTTTCATTTAAAAAATTCAATATAATACAGAAGGGATTCAATATTAAAGATACACTGAAATTATATTCTGTCTTGTTTAGTTGTTTCATATACGCAAAGGCCGTCGGGTTTTAAAGCCATTATAAAATCAATATTTAAAACAAACTTACCTTCGTTAACGTCGGCTCCCTTCTTTTAGCCGATTCTTTCGCAGTTTCTTTCTCCGAGAGCTTTTGAAATTTACAAAATATTGCAAAAATGCGAGTAAAAATGAAATATATTCGCAAGAAATTTATCAATCATGAATCATCAAATCAAGAAATGTTTGCTATTTCGCTGACGTGATGCAGTCGTTTATGCAAACTTTAAATTGGACCAATCAGTGTCCGCTATTCATGACAGTCCGCCATATTTTTGAGGTCAGTGAGGATGACCACCCATCGTTAGTGACCCACGCCCGCGATATTTGATGAACTTTAGACTCCGCTAATGCTTTCGTTTCCCCGGGTGTAAATAGCCGGGGGGAATTAGTACCCTCGCACGGCGCTTCGCGCCGCCGGCTTGGGGATTAGCTAGTCATATATTAATTATTACTGTCTATAATTGCAACGCCTTGACAGACTTTTTGAATTTAGCGAAAGATTCAGTTGATTTAAGTTCTTTATCTAGCGAGTTCCAGAGAGTGACAGCCTGGTAAGATATGGATTTCTTTAGATAGTCAGTGTTAGGTTTCGGTAGTACATAAGTCATTATATTTCTCAGTTCATAGCGATGGCCAGTTTTTATGAATAGAGACTGCAAGTTGCAGGAACCAGATTATAATAGTTTTTATGAGCTGAGTATAAAAGTTGTTGTTTAATCATACTGTTCGGCGTAAACCACTTCACTTTTGCAAGAACATCTTTTCCTGAGGTGTACCAATCCAGGCCAAAGATAACTTTCGCTAACTGGACATGTATTCGTCCCAACTCGTCGAACAAGGTCTTTCCACATGAATCTCATATCAAATTTCCATACGTGATTGAAGGTAACACAACTTTGAAGTAAAAATCTAGCTTCGCATTAATTGGCAAGAAGTACAATAAAAATCCGAGAACATGACTACTCCACCCCAGATTACAATCAATTTGCAGCCCTAAACATCTGGTCGACACGACTTGCTTTATCTGGCTTCCTCCTAATTTGATGCATTGAAGTGGACCGATAAACTTCCTTCGACTCATCAGCATGAACTCTGTTTTGTCAGGATACGGCGTCAGTCGATTTTCGCTGCACCATTTCTAAAGTTTGTCTAAGATCCTGTTCAGAATGTTTGCTACCAAATCGTGATTTGGCGCAATGACATAAAGTGTAGTATCGTTGGCATACATATAAATTTCTCGTTCTTTAAAGTCATCGATATCTGGCAAGTCAGTACAAAATAACGAGAAGAGAATGGGACCTAGCACAGATCGTTGGGGTACACCAAACTGAACAGACATTGACTTCGATACATGACCATTGATCACAGTCGCTTGATGGCGATTCGACAGATAGTTCTTTATCTACGACTAGAGATGCGCGATACACCTAGTTCTCGGAGTTTCCTCAGCAAGATTGGCTGAGAGATCGAATCGAAAGCCTTTCGAAAGTCCACGAAGACAACACCGACCACTAAGTTATCGTCTAATGCCCCTCTCCAATCTTCGGTCATTTTCACCCAGAGTAACTCTGTCGAATGACCTTTCTTGTATGCCCATTGGTGAGTGTGGATGAGCTCATGTTCTGCGAGGTGGGTGGTGATGGTTTGGGACACACATGTCTCCATGAGTTTGCCGGGCACACTGAGCAAGGATATGGGTCTGTAGTTACTCTTCTCTGTTTCGTCGTCCTTCTTGTACAGTGACGAAACAATGGCATTTTTCCACTGGTCGGGTACGCTGTTACTTATTGCACTTGAAGTGTAGAGGGAAAGTAAAGATGGAAAGAACAGGTTCATCGAGAGAAATAAAGTAATAAAGCTATAAAGCCACACAGAAAGACATTTTGAAAGCGTGTGCGTACAATATAATTCGAAACACTGAACAATAAAACAGTAACCGCGTGAATCGGATGAAAACAGTTTTATTTCTGAATTCTTATACTGATATTGGGATATTTTGTTATATCACGTTAAAAAATTTATACTAATTATTATCGGTAAAGGTTTACCTTGACTTTGCCTCGGTGAATATTCACCGATTTAGTATATACGTATACGAATACTTTAAATAAACTTATCTTAATATTGATTAAAACAGGTCAAAGGCCGAATGTAAATATTTATAATTTGAAAGAATCGCCTTGGCAAATTAGGTTCCCTGTGTTAATATTATGATAATAATAATTAACAATTATTGAATGAGGTTGAACACGATATGAAGAATTATCAAGCCCGAAGTTTGCCGTTATCAACCGAAGCCGAAGGCTGAGGTTGATAACGGCAAACTGAGGGCTTGATAATTCTTCATATTGTGTGAAAACCGAATTCAATAATTGTTTTATTATTTATTTAAAAAATTCAAAACAAACGGTCATCCATTTGTTCGCCCGCGTTAATAATCAGCCAAACAAGAATTAGGAAAAGTGTTCTTACCTATTCTAGGAGCTTTTGTTTATCTTTTTGTATTTAACGAATCTTTATCTTCCAGTAATTTTTGAATTTCGGCTTCGCCAAGGTTGGCGAACCTTTCAGTGGAAGAAGCCATTGGTATTTTACTTGTATTAAGAAAAAAACAATTCTCTAGTCCTTCTGCAGCCGTCGTCGTCATATCGTCGTCATATCAGAAACCAGGAATTTTTTAAATAAATAATAATAATGTTTATAGGGGCTTTGGTGGAACAATCGTATATGAGCAAGCGCCTTTCACCTCTGAAATTGTTGGTTTGATCCTCGTATCGGGCTCATGCCTTATAATTATGTGAAAAGAGTGAGCCAACGCTCCACCGAAAATCGCTGGTTTTTTCCGGGTACTCCGGTTCTTCCCACAGTGAAAGTTGACAGGGTGTGTTGGGATTAGCCCTAACTGAATCTTCCAGTGTGGAACCTGCCTTTCTGTGCTTCGTGATCAGACATGAGTCATAAAGTGGCTGCCTGCAGAGGAGCCCTTAGTAAGCCTTCGACTGGGTCAGTTTGATTTGCGTTCTTTGCAATTCAGCTAATTAGTTCTCAGCTGCAAGTAAGGATGATTAGCACACTCCACCTACTTGCTTGCTTGCTTTCTTACTTATGCTTACTTACGTACGTACCTACGTACGTACCTACGTACCTACGTACGTACTTACGTACATACCTATACTAATACGTACGTACCTATACGTACGTACGTACTTAGTTAGTTTCTTACTTATATACTTACTTACTTACTTAGTTACTTACCCACTTACTTACTTACTTTATCGATGTAGTAAATATATGTAAAACTTGATTAGCGAACAAAATGCATGCCATAATAGAACCATTATTATATATGGACACGGAGGTGCCCGTCAAAACCATCAGATTCCACAACTCAGACAAACCGTGGATGACAAGCCACATTAAAATGGAAATCAAAGCTAGACAGCGAGGTTTTAGTCGTGGCGATAGTATAAACTATACACGCTTATGCCATATCTAGTCTGATATCTAAAGCGAAAATAGTCTACTATGAAAGTAAAGCCAAAGACCATCCTAAATCAAACTCTAGTAAATGCTTTAAATCCATCTCCTCACTAGTTGGCATGGATGGTACATCCAACCTTCCGGCAAACGGGTGCCAAAACTACGATCTTTCTGAACTGACCGAGAAACTACAGGCCGTTTTTACCGCCCTTTGGAATGGAATGACGTTAGACAATGCTGCTAATTATGACCTAAATAATGTGCAACACCATCTTAAAGAAACTGATCCCCCCATAACATCGATAGGTCAGGTAAAAAAGGCACTTAATGCATTAAAGGTGAAGAAGGCGACTGGCATTGATGGAATCCCTGCATGGTTCCTGAAGCAGTATAGTGAAGACTTAGCTCCCGTAGCACATAACATCATCACGAGTAGTATAATTCAATGTAAATACCCCACCTTGTACAAACAAGCTCTAATAACCCCTGTGCCTAAAATTACTCCACCAAAAAATGTTGAAACTGATTTTCGTCAAATTTCTGTGCTTCCACAGTTAGCTAAAGTGCTGGAAAAGATTCCGGCAATTGCAACTAAATTGTGCAGATCTCACATTAAAAGATAACCACCATGCATTTTTCAAGGGCCGTTCTACAATCTCAGCATTGATTGAAATTTCACAAAAATGGTTTGATGAAACTGATAACACCACGCATGGCAGAAAAGGTATCCATGCTATTTTCATTGACTTTAGGCTTTAGCAAAGCGTTTGATATGGTGGACCAGCGAATTCTCCTTTCTAAATTGGCCTGTATGAACTTAACTAAAACTTTTTGGCTGTGGATTCGAAATTTCCTATCTATGAGAAGTTAACAAGTAAAGCTACTTCAAATGTTGTCATCATTCGCTCCATGCCCAGCTGGAGTTCGCCAAGTCTCTGTCATCTCTCCTATGCTATCTAATGTATACATCGATGGTTTAGAGAATGAAATCCCTGCATACCTAACCGTCGATACCTCGAAGTATGCCGATGACTGCACACTCGATCAAGCAGTTGGAGCCGGGGAAATAAGCCATGTCCAACAGGCTCTAGATATTATCAAAAATTGGTCGGTGTCGAACAAAATGAGTATCAACGTCAAAAAAACAAAGGACATGTGGATATGCTTCACGGAATCAGTATTGGAACCTCCTCCTGTTTATATCGGTATTATATAAGTATAGAACAGATTATTTAGTCTAAACAGGTCCTTGAGTGATAGCAGCTATTCCTTTAGCTGACCAAGTTTAACCTGTATAAATATGGTATATTATTATTATTATTATTATTAAAGAGTGGACAAATTTAAACTACTTGGAATGGGGCTTCAAAACAACCTCAAATGGAACAATCATGGATGGAACAATCATCACCAAAAAAAAAGTTTCTATTTAGTATTAATTTCTTCATGAAATGGCTGAGGAATTTGGTAAAATGAAATATAAAACTATATCGTTCGAAATAAAGTTTTACTTAAACACTTTTTCTTTACAAGTTTCGAAAACACAATACAGCGGTCAGAACACCATACAGCACAATGAAAACATGACATATTAAAAGAAATAATATCGTACAAATTGGGAAATCTATAGCATACAAAATAAAATGGATTTTAAAGAATATTACGGCAAGGTTTTTCCCAAAAGTCGGGATAGTTTTTGCTATTTGTTTGAAGTGAATGTTTCGGAGTTTTAAATAAGTTTTAAATTGTTCGTGAATATGTTTTACACAGTAAAATAACAAAGGAATCCTACCTTTCAAGTTAAATACAACATTTTGTGCTTCTTTCGTTTTCTGGGGACTGGGGACGATTTTTTCAATATTTTGTCGATTTTGAAACCAAATTTGCCGAATCATTCTTTTTGAAAAGCATTATTTACTGCCCAGGTGGAAAATAATGCCTCAGATTTACTAGTCAGCTAGCCAATCAGAACGCGTGAAAGCTCATTTGATATGCAAAATTTATACTAAAGATTATTATTATTATTATTATTATTATTATTATTATAAGACAAGTGTCTGTAATGCAGTCCCCTAATGTTCCTGTGTCAAGTCGCACGGTTGTTAAATGTTGTTGTGGCAAGATATGCAAAGGGCGCGCGGCCTTAAAATGCATCAGCGCAGTTGTCAAGTGATACATGGCCTTAACGACGAGCTTTGTGCAGATCTTGAGGAGCAAATAACTACGGATAACAGCGAAATATTTCAGAAAATGAACACAACGGCAATGATATTAATACAGTTAATAACGATAGTTTTCCTGAACTGAAGAAAGGCATAAACCTCCCGAAAAATGATTCTGAATGGTCAACGGCTAATGATTATTTTGAATGTGCACTCCAGCCAAATGATCCAATCACATTGCAAGATCTAAATTCAAAAATCAAGCTTTTAAATGACGCGATATACAGCTACTTTGCAAATAATTATGGACATACTGAAACTGTACCGACAAAAATATGGTAGCTAAACATAAAGAGTATACGGTTAAAGAGTTAAAGAAAGCTTTACAAAATTTAAAATCCAAAAAGGGTGATCTCAGTGAAATTAAATACGTATCGCGTACATTGCGTGACAAGCTCCGTAACAATAGCAACGACGCCGATGACTTAAATGACAGTGAGTCTTTTAATCACAACAAATATCTGGAACGAAGCTTTTGGGGCTATGTTAAAAATATAATCAATAGAAAAGACGCAGTATTACCATCATTTAACATGACTGATTGCCTTTCTTATTTCTCTAAATCTCTGGCTAAAATTAATCCTAACAAGCTATTTGTAATTCCCAGCTGGATCCCAATGTTATCTGATCCTGAAGTTCAATTTAACCTTGACCCCCCGACCTATCAACAAATTACGAATGTTATACGCAAAATGAAATCGTCTGGTTCTCCTTGCCCTCTTGATCAACTTTCTATAATAAGTTTCAAGCATTGTCCTTATCTGAGAACTTACCTTACTGAGCTAATTCACGATATTTGGTTATCTGGAACTGTCCCAACTGAGTGGAAAAGAGCATGTACCATACTAATCCACAAGAAAGGCAACAATAATGACCCTTCAAATTTCCACCCCATAACACTCGAATCCATACCTTTAAAAGTATTTACATCTTGTCTTCGAAACGCAGTATACTCCTTCCTCGCATCTAATAACTTCGTAGAACACAACATACAAAAAGGCTTCACCCCTAACCTATCTGGCACTCTAGAACATACTGCACAAATGGCTGACATTATTAATAAAGCTCGGATCAGACAACGCTCTGTTGTCATCACCCTACTTGATCTTAAGAATGCTTTCGGCGAAATCCATCACAACCTCATCCAATCCGTACTTGACTACCACCATATCCCTGATCATATAAAATTTGTTATAAAAAGTTTATATACTGATTTCCAAACCTCGATAATTACCTCTGAATTCCGCACTCCTTTTATGACAGTTGGCCGTGGCGTATTGCAAGGAGATTGCCTCAGTCCTCTTCTTTTTAACATGTGCTTCAATACATTCGTTCAGCATATCAAAGCTGAAAAATATCGTCAATTTGGGTTTTCCTTCAAATTACTAAATCCCATCCACTGGTTCCAGTTTGCTGATGACGCGGCTGTAATTACTGGCCAAGAATCCGGAAACCAACATCTATTAAATCGATTTTCTATCTGGTGCCAATGGTCCGATATGATTATCCGAGTTGACAAATGCAAGACCTTTGGCATTAAAAAAGCCATCACAAAATCAGTTCAGTACTTGCCAAAACTCCTCATCGGCAATCAACTAATACCAAAAATCCTTATTGGAGAATCATTTCAATATTTAGGACGTTACTTTGATTTTCACATGTCGAATGATAATCATAAAACTGAGCTAACCATCCTACTTAATGAACTAATGTCTGATATTGACTCAAAGCCACTACATCCCAAAAATAAACTGCTCCTCTACAGTCGCTACGTCTTGTCCAAGTTATCCTGGCACTTCACCGTCGCAACACTCTCTAAAACATGGGTTACTGAAAATATCGACTCTATTGCCAACAAATATATCCGCAGATGGCTTGAAGTACCAATATCAGGAACACTAAGTACTGTCTTTCTAACAAATAACAAATTTGGCCTGAGTATTTATCCTCCATCTCGGATTTTCGTTCTGGACACGAAAACAAACTCCTGAACCAATTAACCAGTCAAGGATCCTTTTTCTGCAGCGTCACGAAGTTCGCTTTACCCCAGCTTAACAAGGTGTGGTCCATCGCCCAATCAAAGCTCCCGAAAAACATTTACAACTTTACCATTCGTTACATTAACAACTCTCTTCCGACGCGAAAAAACCTAAACAGATGGGCAATATCTTCAAATGCAGACTGTTCTTTTTGTCTAAGCCCTGAAACATTACTACACATAGTAGCTGGATGTCAGTTTTATCTCGACCGATTTACGTGGAGACACAATTCAGTCCTGAACGTTCTTGCTAATACTTTACAAACTGTTGACAGTTCTACTCTCTACGCTGATCTACATGGATTCAAAAGCCCTTCAATACTTACTGGTGATACGTATCGCCCAGATTTGTTATTATCGTGCTCAAATGGTTCCTTATATGTGGTCGAACTCACCACTGGTTATGAGACAAACCTCAAGAACAACGTAAAACGGAAGAAGAATAAATATAGAGAATTATTGAGACAGCTAGGTAAAAATTTTAACCAAGTTAAATTTATAAATCTCTCTATATATCAGCTCTTTAGGTATTTTTGCAGAAGAATGTTCTACATTTTTAGACATGTTAGAAAGTATTGGTCTTGACAAAAACCACCAAATGTACTGCGTTAAGAAAATGATGACTAGTGCTATTAGAACTACATATTACATTTTTTGCTGCCGAAATAAAGAATGGGAAAATCCGGATTTACTAACAATTTGACTTATCTGATTGTATATATATATATATATATTGCATGCACTTTGTTCTGTTATTTTAGATTAGTATTGTGTGATTCAAATAGCCAACCGTAAGTTACCTTTATGAGAGAGATTTACGATTGTATATGTATGTAAAGAAAAACATTTAATAAAGTTTTCATTATTATTATTATTATTATATATTACATTAATTTTTTTTTACTACTAGTAAATTCATTAATTTTTTATCGATTTGGGAGCAAGAAGCTGAAATCTGAAGCATAGAAGGGCCACTTACGTCGGAAGCTTTGAAGCTTCTGTCCTCGCGCATGTCGCATTATACGCATGTTCGCCGACACGTTGCACGCTTAGAGGCCCTTCTGTTGCTCGGATCTGTATTCTCAGTGTCTCAAGTCTGAAGTCTCTTCACGGCTTCCGTACATAAAGGCCATAGATATATCTGCTTTGTTTTTTTTTTCAAATTCCCACTTTTTTTTAAATTCGGACTTTTTTTCCCAAATTCCGATTTTTTTCAAATTCCAACTGTTTTTTCGAATTCCGACCTTTTTTTTTAATCCCGACTTTTTTATCGAAATCCAACATTAATTTTTAAAAAATTTGGAATTTGAAAATAAATTTGATTCAAATAGTTATTTGCCCGTCTATTGATCCCTGACTTTAAATTTTACTTTTAACATTCAGTTTCCACAAGACTGCGTAATAGATTTTTTACAGCATGGGGATGTAAGTGTTGAGCTGCTTCTGCTATAGGAGTTACTACACATCGTATCAAATAACCGCTGAATAATGTAGATATCCCAAAAACTGCGAACAAAGAGCAAATTATCAAAATTGCTGAACGGGTGTTTTTCCCTGGCGGAAAGTCCTGTTTTGGAAAAGCTAATGGCTATTGAAATGAAAGTTGATCTGTTCGATTTTAAGGAAAGAAATTATATCCAGCTCAATATTAGTAGATGATGAGAATTTTCCAGTTGCCTTAGAATTTTATATTGATTATTTTAAGTTGTCCAAAATCAGACTTCATTCATATACAGAGATAAGAGAAGACAGCGATGAGCATTGTGACGACTTGTTTGATTCTGATTCGGACAGGATAGTTTTATGAATATTTCAATGCTTCCCAATCCACTATTACCAAACCGTAATGAAGAACCTGACAAAGATGGTTTAATTGGCTCATCAATACAGCGAATTGATTGACAATGCTTATGAAGAATCACTGGCGGTGGATCAGGCAAAATCATCTGCGCATGCAGGAGCTGCTGACGAAATGGAAAATCATCAAGAAGAAAGTAAGGATGTAAATGATTTGAAAAGAATTCGAAATGGAAGATTACCAAAGGAACCTTATGCAAGTGATCCACACTATATCGTTTTTGTAAGACATTTGTCTCTTGGCGTCCTGACGTGTATGTTTTCGCTGGACGATTCCGTATATTATATGTATGACTGGGCAGGTTCGTTACCAGACTCACCAGAGCATTTTTAGCTGTGTACCTATTCAGGAGATTGCTTGTTTCCCAGTGAAAGTGCAAAATCTGTCGACAAGTGCATGCATGTTGTGGTTCCCAGCATGGAACCTGTAATATTTTCTGAAATAAAATGAAATTAAGTCTTTAGCAATCAAACGTAAGTGCAGTAGATCAGTTCTGTCCTTGTTTATGTGCATAACAATATGATTGCATTTGTAAGCTTTTTAGCTCACGGAAGCATTTATAATATAATTCTTCTGTAATTGCTGGGAAAAAGGGCACTTTTATTCCACAAAAAGCCTACATTTCCCGCTTGCAAAAAAGTGGAAGGCGCATCTGCCCCCTATACCCCCCTCCCCGGGTTCCGCGGTGTCTGAGAGTCATGGGCAGTGAAGCATGCATGGTTTCCGTTTGGTGGTAATGGTCGTAATTGACATGGCCTGTTTACACTTCAGTAAGCCATCGACAGAAAGCCTGTAGATTATATAGATTTCGAATATGAACTTTTTGACCGGTGCAAATTAATAGCTCTGGTCTAAAAAGCTTGAAACGCAATAAAACGGCAGCTTAAGACTAAAACCTCCATATTGTTAAATCTCGATTATGCAAATTCTCTTTTTCGATTACAAACCCGGAAAGACTTGCGATTTTCATGTCAAAAAACGGCTTGTATGAATTTTTTAATGCATCAGCAGAAAGCCTAGCTATCGACGTACATTTCGAATTAAGAAATTTTAGAGCGGCGCAAATCCATGCCTTTACTCTAGCGGGCTTGAAACGCAATAGAACGGGAGGCTGAGACTCAAACCTCCATATATTGTTAAGTCTCAAATTCTTTTCGATAACACACTCGGAAATACTTTCGATTTTCCTGTCCCGAAACGGCCTGTTTGTACCGAATAAAGCATTAGCGAACAAAGCTAGTTGTACTAGCAATGTTGTTATCTATCAAGTTGCCAGAAGGTTGTCACTCACAACTTGTTGACAAATGGGTCAAACCTAGGTCCTTTACTATTCAACTTATATATTAATGACCTTCCAAACTGTCTACAGACAACCAAGGCTTCCATGTTTGCGGATGACACCAACCTTCCTTGTAAGGGGCAATCATCTGCAGGCATGGAGTACAAATTAAACAGACCTAGACAATATTCAGAAATGGCTAATAAGTAATAAGTTAACATTAAACCTTATGAAAACTGACTATATGCTTATTGGATCACAACAAAGGTTAGATAAAATCCTCGAAACTCCAAATATACTATAAAAAGGGTAAGGGAAAAAACTGTTCTTGGACTCATAATTTATGACCAATTAAAATGGAACAGACACAATGATGAACAGTGTAAAAAATCTCAAAAAGCGTAGGACTTTTAGGAAAAGCTAAAGACCTTGTTTCACAAGAAGAATTAGTCACAATTTATAACTCATTAGTCTTACCACATTTTAACTATTGCTCTACTATTAGGAATGATAATAACAAATCTCTTATCGATAAATTGTGAAAATTACAAAAGAGAGCTGCACATGTTATAACTATAGTTCTGACTACACTATTGGATCATCCCAATTTTAATTTGAATCCCTTCAATGGCATCCAATAAAATATCTCATGGAGAAACGGGATCTAACAATGATGTTTAAAGTTTCAAAAAACATGGCGCCCAATCACAAAAATGTTTCGTAAATTTGCCAATTCTTATTATTATTGAGCCTTCCTATAAAAGCCAAAAATAGATTTTCTGAAAAGAAGCTTCTCCTACCGTGGGGCTGTCGCGTGGAATGGTCTGCCGTCTGAACTTTTGCGAGTGGCAGACGAACCTCGATCTATTTCTCCTTTTCGTAGTTATTAATAATTATCGTAAAACTTTGTAACAGTTTGTATATGTTGTAGCCTAATATTTTAACTACTTATAAATGTTGTAATTCTTTTTAAATACACGGCCCTTTGAAAATCACACAAGTGAAAGGCTACCGTGTTTAAATATCTTTAAATAATAATAAACAATAATAATACCGATGGATCTAACAAAAAAGTAAACAAACAAGTAAAGGCCGATTTTCATCTAGACCGTATCGTAGCATTTTTTTGTGTGTCAAAGTCATATATTAGTTTCACACTAGTGCTCAAGAAAAAACTGAATACGCTACGCTTCGGTACGATGCGACTGAAGTGCGCGGCAAAACGTGTTGAAACGAATTTAGTTACAGGGAACTTAACTTCGAAGGTCATTAATGTTTATGAAATATGAAACAAAAACCTCTTCGACTTTGCCTTCCATGTCGTCCATATTAATACACTTTCAAAGCGAGGCTAGCGATTCGCAGCTCGCAACTCGCAACTAGCTCGCAAAATAGCCGACTTCAACAAAATTGTATGAAATTCCATGTTTTAGACAGAAAACAAGTGTTGTTGAATGTTATTGTTGGAAACAGACTATAAATAGGATGTGAATCAACACAAGATATGAATACCATATAAGGACATAATTAGTGTATGATTAACATTTAGCAAAAACAAGATATATATACTTTGCGAGCGAGAGAGAGAAATACGGCAGGTACAAAACGAAGGTTGCAGGTTGGAATTTTGCAGGTTGGAATTTTGCAGGTTGGGGATTTTGCAGGTTGGAATTTTGCAGGTTGCCAGGAACTTTGCAGGTTGATAATGCAAACTTAAAGTTATTCCACTTTTTTAGTATTCTAGTATAATTTAGTTGTGCATTTATTGCGGCGCCTCTGCTCAAAGGCTAGTGGCCATCACCCCCGTAAAAACATTCAAAATGACCAGATTGGCTTGTACTTACAGCGAGACGAATGTTTTGATTGTTGCGAGGTGCCTACATGATGTGGCGGCGTTTATACTAGAATGCTGTTAAAAGTTAATTAACTCTCGAGTAATGATACGGTAATTGGGGGCTTGAGTGGACTTATCATAAGTGGGTGCAGAGGAGAGACACCTCATTCAGGCATTTTCTGAACTGCCACCACGTTATGTAGGCTCCTGGCAACAATCGAAACATTCGTCCCCCTGAAGATCCAAGCCAATCTGGTCATTTTGAATGTTTTCACAAGGGTGAAGAGCAGAGGCTAGCAACATGGTAGTAGGATAGGCAGATATCAAAAGCGGCGACAAGAAGAATTCCCAACCTGCAAAATTCCAACCTGCAAAATTCCCAACCTGCAAAATTGCCGGAGAGAAATAGATGCGTAAACATAATGCAACAAACGAAATAAAATTGAACAAGACGCTCCACGGAGAGTTAAATCGCTGGGGCGATAGAAATATGCAACTTTATAAGTACAAGTGATAGCACTAATTAAAGAAGAGCGTGTTGTTTTTCCGAAAATATTAATTCCTGAAGTTTGCAGTTTGCCTTGTAGTTAGCGCTAATAGTTAAAACAAATACATCCATGTAGCAATGTTGTTTTAATAGTCATATAATATACTGTATACAGTATATTGTATCGTATGTGTTATTAAAAAATTATAAGCGTTTATCCAGTTGTCATTACACAGATCGGCTGGTGTTATGTTATCAACTGTCCAAATTAAAACCGAACTTTAATAGCTAGCTAGTCAGTGCATCGAAGGCTGGAAGGCAAGAATATTCTTCGCCTCGAAACTAGACGCATTATAACGTATGTCTATTGTCTAATAGGCTACAACAATGCCTAAGAGGAGAGGTATTTGATCGTGACTAAAACACCACACGAGTACATACGAGTAACATACGAGTAACACACAAGTACATACGAGTACATACAAGTAACACACGAGTACATACGAGTAACATACGAGTACATACGAGTAACACACGAGTACATACGAGTAAAACACAAGTACATACGAGTACATACGAGTAGAATACGAGTACATACGAGTAGAATACGAGTAAAATACGAGTAGTAAACTTGTTTTTAGTGTTTGTAGATTGAATGAAGGCAAAAAGATCGTCTTCTCTGTCGAAAAACGTGGAATGGGGGAATGGAGGAACGGGGAATGGGAGAACGGGGAATGCGGGAACGGGGAACGAAAAACGGGGGGGGGGACAGGGGAATCGGGGAATTATGAATTATTATTAATACGTAATATTAATCATATGTACGGGGGGGAAAAGAACAGAAAAAAGAAACAGAAATTCGACAGGATAAACGGCAATCGGGGAATTACGAAACTATAAAACGGACTCTGGTGTCTTGGGAATTAGAAAACCGCTCAATGAATTAAAACTAGT